TTTTCTTAAATGAAATGAATTCAACAAATTAAATAATTAAAAATAAATTGTACATAATATGGAAATTAATTAATTTTGCTTTTCAATCTACTTACATTCAATTGAATTTCAATATTGTTATTGACTGTATGAATCGATAAATATATACAATTCGTGCACAACTGAGTGGAGCAATCACAATTTTCATCAGCTTTAGGAAATATGCGTATCAAACATTTTCCCAATCATGTTGGCCATATTCACAAACACATTTCACTGAATAATTTTGCATTTTATATGAATATTTTTCTCAAATTGCTTGCTTGCGCCTGCAAATTATATTTAATTTCTGATATCTCTCAATATATATAGTAGGTGTATATTTGAAAAACTGTGCTATTTTTTCTTTTAATTCGAAACAAAGTCACTCGCGACGACCAAATTGCGTTGAATCCGTTGATAAACTGAGCACCGGAAACGCGTTGACGTCGACTGCCACTTGTGGAATGGAAGCGACGAGCCGAGCCGAGCCGAGCGCMAGCCAAAGCCAAAGCCAGAAGACGAATCACGAGCCTGCCCGGCACGAGGTCGAGGCGAACTTGTTGCGGCGCCAGTTCGTGTGCGTCTGTGTGTCGTGTGTGTGTGTATGTGTGCTTGTGTGCCGCGAAGGGAGGCACCCATACGACGCACGACGGCTGGCGAATCGAGACCTTTTAACTTCGCTCAACAAAAGTTTTGAGCGCAATGCGTGAGTGAGCTAGCGTCTGTGCAATTGAGTGATGGTAAGCTGAGGGCAAAGCCAGAGTGCTGGCATGCAGGAGCTTGAGTGAAATGGAATGTGAGTGCAATTGGGCTGATGGGTGAGTGCCGTGAGTGGCCTGTAGCGCCCCCTGTTGTTCTTGTTGTTCTTGTTACTGCATTGTTCTCCCTTATCACGTTACTCATACGCATCACACACATGCACATACACACACCAGGGGGTGGCTTATGTTGTTGTTGTTYCTTTTGGAGTTGGAGTCATGCACACCACGTGCTGCGACCCCCAACTCCAGTGGGCTGAGGGTGGACGAACAGTCGGTCGGTCGAAGTGGGCCATTGACGTTCTGATTAGCATCATTGACGTACGCTACTCGCTCGCTCTCTCCCTCTCACTGTCTCACTCACACTCACACACTAACTGACGCTCTGGACCGACTCCATGTGCTGACTGAGTGACTGTGACAGAGTCTACACTGTTATTATGTATTATTATCGTCTGTTTGTCTACGCTTTTGTTGTTGTTGTTGTTGTTGCTTATCACTGTGCTTATGTCCTTATCGAAAGGGTTTTATCGCTGATAAACTATTGTCGAGATAATAATAAAATGTTGCCAAAGAGTTTCGGTTAGTTGAAAGTTGGCCTTTATTTTACTTTTCCGTTTTTTTCCTTTAGCTATTTATATTTTGCCTTTTATGCAATTGATGAACATGTCTGAAGGATTTTTAAAGGCGTGCCTTTGTGTGTGGCCGTACATTTTTTTATTGGACTTGTAGAAATATATTTCGTATGTGATGTATGTGCCATAGAATATATTTTATGCAATTTTAGCAACAATTTCGACTTGTGATTTTGATTTATGAAATTATGAGTTTATTAAATAAGAGAGTTGAACTACTACGTGAAACTTAAAATTACAAATGTATTAATTTATAAAACGATTTACATTTATTTGTATAAAACATTGTTAGCTTATAGACATAATTGTAACTTGTAAATTTGGCTGATCAAAGGTATTACACTAACAGACAAAAAAACAAATTATTTTGGGAAAAACTCCTTTTGTCAAAAATCTCTCTTTGCCAACATTTTAAATTATATATTCTGTTTAGACTTTCACTGGTTTTAGAGCTTCAATTTAAATTGAATTTCGCTAAATAATAATAAAATACAGATGACTAATGAAATTTCAATGCTCTCCATTACTTTAAAAACGAGCTCAGATGTTTATTTTATATTCTTGGAGATCTATTTATATACTAACCCTCTGCTATTGGGCTATGTTTACCAGATAAAATTAAGTTTAATATCTACCATCTATCACCGAATACACACACACGCACTAGCACACTTCCCATATATTCCTGCCCAGTTATTAAGCTTTCCATAAGTACAGTACTTTATCAAGCAAATGAACTTCACTAGTTTCAAGTGCGCTTTCTGGTTTTACTTCGTCTTTCGCTGCTCCACTTGACGCGAATGTGGGCGGGGGTGAGGGTGCGGGTGGGGGTCGCTGCTATGCGGCAAATGCCTCTTCAGCCAAGTGTTGCCAAATACAAATTGACAGTTAATATTTTTAAACTAGTCAGAGCGAAGGTTTCGGGGGTGGCGGCTGTCGAGGGGTGCAGCTGCCTGTTGCCTGTGGCCCGTTGCCTGCTGCCTGCTGCCGATGTCGACAAGGACATTATGTAAATCACAGAACGGCAGAAACGCGCTGGCGCTGACTAGTCCGTCCTCCCCTCAATCCACCGCCTTCAGTGCGCCCCTTGCAGCTGCGATGTGGAAATAATAAACAGGAAAAAGACGCAGGCCAAGCTGCAGTTGCTCAGATATTCAGATACTTTTGGCGTGGGCGTTGCTTTTCATCCGGTTTGCCATTTGATTATGCCCAGCCAGCAGCAGCATCTCCTCCTCTTCTTCTTCTTCTACTACTTGTTGTGGTTGCATGTTGCTCGTCATCAACTGAGTCCAGCCCTTAACATATTAAACCGATCATTGTACTCGACATCTCAAACAAAAGTTGAGCAAACAAATACAATAATAACTCGCAGTGCATGAAATGCCTTTCGGGTCATTCCCGGCTGCGAAAGGCTAGACGTTTGTTTGCTTGGCTTGTCCTGATTGTAAGCCAATGGATTGTAAAGTCTATGTGTAGATTTGTGAGATGTATAAAAATATATCACTCAAAAAACTAGGCGCAATTGAGAGAACGAAAATCAATAAAATAAAAATTCACTCCATATAAATTCCTGTGTAGAAATGAGACTGGATTTTTCTTATTATTTAAGCTAATATTCCAATTTATATTTATGAGTTTTTAATTTAATCTATTGTGTACCTAGATATTTAATCATCACGATTATGTTTTAAGTTCTTTTGAGCTTCGGTCAGTACGCCTGATGTTTCACATTGCTTTTTTATTGAAAATCTATCCGTCTCTCAATCTCTCTCTCTCCCTTGTGAAATTTTTGTTTTTTTCTGAAGGATTTTTTGTCCTGTCCCTTTCCATTTTTTTTTTCAAGCTGAGTCAAGTCCTCGCTCTTTATTTTCGGCTCTCCTTCTTTCTCTCTCTTCCTCTATCGTTCGCTATTTTTATACCCTGAACCCATTGAAAATGGGAAATCAGGGTATAATGGTTTTGTGAAAAAGTATGTAACGGGCAGAAGGAGGCGTGGCAGRCYCCACAAAGTATATATATTCTTGATCAGCGTGACGAGCTGAGTCGATATAGCCCTGTCCGTCTGTCCGTCCGTCCGTCCGTCCGTCCGTCCGTCCGTCCGTCCGTCCGTCCGTCCGTATGAGTGCGTCGATCTCAGAAGTTATAAGAGCTAGAGAGCTGAAATTTGGCATGCATACTCGTGTGTACCATACGCAGTACGAGTTTGCTTTATTTTTTCGATAAATCGTCCGATAACTTTTTTATCGAGAATAATCGAAAAATTGATTTTGTTTTTTTAGCCTAATTTGAACATTTTTAGACCTGGAGTCTTCAAATTTGCGTTGTATATAAAGTTAATCGATACAAAGATTTTGTAATTTACAGATTTTGGATACCACGCCCCCTTCTCCCCCAATTTGTAAAAAACGCATTTCAAGTACTAGAGACTTGTGCTTTGGAATGTACACACATATTTACCATATGATTACACTCTGAAAGTTTCATTAAGATCATATGTTTACAAAAGAAATTATTCGACAAATAAATTCTCATAATATTGCCCACACTGCAGCGCAGCCCAAGCGCAGTCGCTGCTTACTGCGCAGTTAGCAGAGCGCAGGCTTATGCGTGCGTGTGGATGCAT